AAAGAAAGAAAGAAAGAAAGAAAGAAAGAAAGAAAGAAAGAAAGAAAGAAAAAGAAAGCTCACGTTATGAAATAAAACAACTTCCGTCCTTCTCTTCAGCAGATATTAACAAACCTTTCGTCACAACCTCACCAGCCAACGGGCTGAATCAGAGAGCCCTCGCGCGAAGGAACCCAAACTTTTACGCCAAGGAATACACAAACACAATTGCAGCACAGTTTCCACGGTGAAACCAGGTTAGCGCCAAAAGTAACAGTTTTTGCAACTAACCTTTAGGTTCCAAGGTTCTCCCAACTGGCAGAACTTACTTGTCCCCTGACTTAATACTCCTCTGTCTAGAATCCGCCTAAATGACCCCATCTTTGAATTCTTTAGCACAGGTTCCAGCGAGCTTTGTAGGGAAGACGGGAAGAGAAGGTGAGCAAGATGGAGGGCTGGTCACTGGTACACGTGATTGCAGTAAAGGAGGGTCCTGGTGGTTTTCTGCACTACAGCAGCTCTTTGAACTGTGGGGGAGCGCGCCTGAAAGCCATAAGGGGTGCCCGGATGACAGTCGTCACACACACACACACACACACACACCCCTGCCCTGGAGGGCACCCGTGCCACGCCCCAAACCCCGCTGGGCATATCTCAGAAAGGGCTACCGACCCACCCCGCTTCCAGACCCAGCCAGGTCTTGGTGACACATGCCAGGCCGGCCCTCTCGATAATGATGAATTGCTACTGAGGGAGGCCTTTAATAAGACCAGCCTGGCATTCAGTGGCAGAGTCTGTCCATGGATGAAGGAAAGAAAGAAGCAGGCCATTTTCAAGGTCTCCATTCGCGGAATTTTTGCTGGATCCGCTGATTCATTCCCTCACCCCTCTCCCTTGGTGCGGGCCAAAATAACCGCATGCTCGGAGTCTTATTTAAATGTATCCACCATACAGATAGGTTGGTACTGATAGTATCTGCTGACATGGTGGAAGGGTTCTCATCTGTAGTTTTGCATTATTGGGGCTGTTTCTATTTTCCTCTCCTTGCTGGGCTAACGTGACGGCCTCACCTTTCAAGACTCAGAATAATAGGGTTTTATGGCAGCCTGCAGAGAGGCAGAAAAATAGAATAAAATATAGAAGTGGAATAAAACCTGCTTCCAGATCACATAGCTTAGCTCAGTGTTGTCCAAACCTGGCCACTTTAAGAGGAGTGGACTTCAGCTCCCAGAATTCC